TGAATTGTAGTTCAAAGCTAATATTGAGGTCTGTGGTTCTAAGGCAGGGGTAGGCAACCCCCAGCACGTGTGCCAGAGCATGCCACACAAAGGCATTTTGCTTGGCACTTAGGCATTGGGAAAGGGTCCGGGGCTCCACTACTACAACAATAATCCGGTCTCTTGAGGCTTCTTTGCTGTCCACCTCTGGCACACCAACATCTTACAAGCTGAGGCTGCAGGCCAAAAATGTTGGCCAAAAATGTTGCCAACCCCTGTTCTAAAGGAAATGTACTTAGATCAGCTTTTCAGTTTATGTTCTCCTACACCCTTCCTGGGCTTTTTACCACTGACAGAAGCGCTGTGCATCAGCATCTATTCTGAGTGAAAACAGACACGGCTGTTGCAATTATAAAATATATTGTTAGGGACTGAAGGGGGAGGGATGAGGAGGAATCCCCACACTAACTTTAATGAGCCAGGATGTCATCCCAAATCACTCAGGGAACTGGAAGGGATCTCAAGGATCATCTAGCTCAACCCCTTGCAGGGATGCAAAATATGCTATTCCTATACTGTCTCAGTGTGATTACTATCCAGCCTCTTCTTGATAACCTTCCGTGAAAGAGATGCCACTGTTTTTCTGGGTAGCGTGTCCCATTGTCCTACAGTTCTCACAATTAGGAAGCTTTTTTCTGACATCTGATCTGCTTTAAGGTAGTCTAGACCCATTGCCAGACGTCTGTCCTTTGTAACAAGGGAGAATGGCTGCCTAACAGGTGTGCAGTTTGGAATTAAATAGCATTGAAATATATTTTTTTAAACCCAAACAAACAAGAGGGAGAAGTCCCGAATTGGAGACTCTTCTTTCCTTCTCATTGAAGGTGGAGGGCACGGAGGACTGACTATAATGAAACTTGGGTCTGAACCAGCCCATGTTTTAGTTTTTTGGATGAAGTAAAATCTGATCTGAATTCAAACACTCCCCAGTGGAACTTAGTGAGGGTCTCCTCTAGAAATATGCTGCAGACAGAACTGCTTGGCAAATAAGAGGCATGGCATTTGGGGTACATTTCCCATACAAAAATGAATGAACTGCAGTTCAGAGCTTCATTATTTGACTTGCCTCCCCTCATTAATGACATGGGGGCTTGGCCAATCCAGGCTGTCATCCTGCATCACCACAAAAGAATATCTGCACATGTGGTAAAAGAGTTGTTGCCTCTACTGAATTGGGGCCCAGTGCTATCACAGAGGGCATAACTTACAAAATGGGATGTGTATCTCATATTGTTTTACAAATGCGATGGAAATGTCTTCCGTCCATCTGCCTCTGATTGGTACAGAGATTTTGCCACAATAAAAATGAAAATCCTCCAGTCATAAGAGAAGTTCTCGGTTGCCACATGTATTTTGAACTGCAAAAGGAGTGTGGTTTTAATGTGCATGATAATTATATTATTGCAGACAAAGAAGATAGACTGTGATAAGAATCCTGATATAATATTTTTCTCTCTGTTATCTCCCACCCTAATCAATGCACATAGACAGGTGTGCATTTCACCTTGCCTGGCCAGACACAACCATACCAAGCTGCAACAGAGACCATTAACTTTTTATTCTCTTTCCATTCTAATCTAATTACATTTCTGTGTTCAATAGCTGAGCATAATGTTAAACAGGCTATTCCGAGTAAGTTGCAGTTAGGGAAGGTTGGAAATTTCATTTAGAGTGAATATGTGATTCATTACAGCAGGGATTTGGGATTGACCAATTAATTTGCCTGAGTGCGTGGCTCAAACTGGCATTGCTGCCCTACACTAAAATGCCATATAGTTAATCCTAATTGCTTTTCCTCCCACTGCTACCTGCAATGCCACCTTCAAAAGAAAGACAAGGAGGAAGAAATGGCACAAGATAAAAAAAAAAGAAAATATCTCCTAAAAATATATTCGTATTAGTTTGGTTGCATCTTTCTCCAAGCTTTGAACCTAGATTACACAGGCAGAATAGGTGATGGTAGATATGGTTTTCTGCAGAGGGAAAAAGAAAGGTTTTGCTGCTACTGTTGCAGTGAAAGCATGAAAATATTGCTTGTTCCAAAATCCCAGACAGATGAGCTCTGGAAAATTGATGGAAAATGCATAGAATATGTGTGGTCACTAGTATGAAGTAGACTATCTGGCATGCAACACAGGGTTAATCACTAAAGGAAGCCATTTTAGAGCACTGAAATTAGCATCATTTGTTAAACCTAAAGGAGGTGTTACGGTGGGCCAAAATTTGGATCCAGAGATGAACTACTTCAAATGTTTATGGCATTTTTGCATGTGGGCATTCTGGCGTTGCCCTCTAACATATGCCCTCCAATGAAATCTGGGGCTATGTTCTTTAATTTCAGTTCATGCTCATCTCTAATTCAGGATAAAAGTAAAGGTCTCCTGATAGCAAATCTTCCTTTTAACTCAGAAGACATTTACCATCTACTAAACAGACTAACTTAAGCAAGTCAAATACAAGAATCAACAATTTGGTTAGCATTACACAGGGGATACATTGGTGAAGGGGGTCTAGCTACACATAGAAATGTTCAGAGGTACAAGAGCAGGGATGGTCAAAAAAAGAAAAGAGTTCTTAAGAGTGGTACGTACCAGGAAATAGCCACATGGCGTCTGCCCTGCCCCCAGGAAGTAAAACAGACTTCGGCCAGTCAGCAGGAGATTTCAAACCATTTCTCAGACACAAAGGCCACAGGAATAAGATGCCGATCAGAAGAAGAGGGTCTGCAGCGAGCAGAAAAATGGGCTTGCGCGTGCTGGTACATAACACACAACAAGCAAGCCTAGTCAGGCCTGCTGCCAAAATCAGCTTTTTTTTTTGCTTTTTTTTTAAGGGAAAAAATAATCTCTAAAATAATGCTTTGGATGGGCTTATTGGCCTTTGCAAAGTCAGGCTACCACCAGGAAGATGATGATGAATTGCGATGCCATTTTTATCCCCCATCCCATAAATGAAATAAAGTAACTCTGAACCAAGCCAATTATTCAGGGTAGTGGTTTTCAACCTGTGTCCCGTTGACCCCTGGGGGTCCAAAGACTATGTCTGAGGGGTCCACAAAAGTTTATTATGATCACTCAAAAGCATATGACTAGCCACACTTACAATTCAAAGGGGTCTGCACCTCCATTAGAAATTTCCAAAGGGGTCCACACCTCCATTACAATTTTTTTAGGGGTCCGCCAATGAAAAAAGGTTGAAAACCACTGATTTAGGAAGTCGTAGTCTGAACATGGATCGCAGTATCTCCCTCTTTTTAAAGTATTTCTCCTCTTGCTCCTTTTCCCTTGGACTGCTTTTCTCTTGTTTCCCGTTCCCAGGTGTAAGTAACAGGGCATAATCATTAGCTCAGCATTGCTATGGCACACCAAGGTGGCTCACCTGGAAAAATACAGAGTTTGTGGGAGCCTGCTGGTAGACTAATGGGACTGCCCTCATTAGTTACTTAGAAAGTGACTGCTCTGGTTCAAGTGGGCTTCGAGGAGAATTGTGGAGGCCAATAATTTCCAAAAAAAGCATTACTTTAAGACAAAAAAGCAATGAACCGCTTCCAACCAATGCTCACATATCAGGGACGGTATTAAAAGCAGTGCAAAAAATCGACATTGCCAGTGTTCCAAACAAAACACAGACAAGACAAGAAAACAGAACAAAATGCTCCCATTCATGTCCCAGCATTGGTTGGCTGGAGTTCATGTGAAAACCAACATATACACACACTCAATGAAATGGTTTGAAAATCCTTGCCAATTCTTTGCCTCCCAATACCTGTGGAAACCCCAGAATATGGCAACTAGCAAATGTCATGCACGCGCATGCGCGTGCGCACACACACACGCAAAGGTATTCAAAGGTACTTAAAAAGAAGTGTTTTACAATGGCTTTAGTTTAGGCTTCTATTCTTCATGCACTTAGGATAAGGACTCTGTGCATTAAATGTCACTTATAGTTCAATGAGATTATATATTTGAAGAAGTTTTGGGGGGTTTCCCCCCTTCATTAAAAGTCATCAGGCTTTTTTTCTTCATCTGACAGCAAACACATTTACTGTGTGGAGCGATTTAGGTAAATCTCTGCACCAATCATTAATGAATACCTCTTCCTAAAAAACCCATGACTAAATCAGAACCAGTGCCCCATGCAATTAAACTTTGACTGAAGGCTAGTATCTTCAGTGGAAAGAGGTCACTTACCAAGTTCTCCAGTCAGCCTCCCTTCCCATACAGACAAGAGACAGAATGATGTCCCAATTTTTAAAATCCCTCCATCTAGAAAGTCCCATTGTGTTCCCTTGCTTAATGTATCATTATTTCATACCAGATAACTATTCACATGATTCATTCATGCAATCTATTCTTTCATTAATCACAATTCCTCATTTGAAATTGAACAGCTGTTTAGATGCTGCTTAAAAAGCAGCATATAAAAGCCAGAAGACAAATTTGAGGTAGATTTCTTTGTTGAAGTAGGCAAGGGGAATTGAAAAATGTGTGGTGCTACAGACCAGCACAGTGTAACAAGATGTGTTCAAGGTGAAGCCAACTGGCATTGCAAGGACAATAGCTCCACTACTTAGAGTTGCCATGTGACAAGCAATATAAATATTAGGTCCTATGCCTGCTGGTCACAAAGGCTCTGAGTAATTGTTTGTCCTTAGTTTGGAGGGTGAGTTTTGCATTAGTGGTTCTACGCAGCAGGTCGTGCAAACCAAACCAAAGTGACACCTAGCAAATATACCTAATTGACCAGTTAATTTGGAAAAAGAAGAGGCACATTATGGCTTTAAATAATAACTGGAGTTTCTCTGTGCCATACTCTTCCTAAGATGGATTTTGTCATTGCTGGATTTATTATTCCCTAGAATTTCTTCCATAGGTAAAATTAATAAAATGAGACTAATAGCTAATGCAAATAAATGTGAGTCTGTAAGTGTGCATGGGAACTGTGATCAATGCCTGTCTTACCTGTTTCCATTGAATGTTGTTTTATAATCCCCTGGTGAGTGCAATGCCTCCTCTGTGTACACAGGCACAGCTGTCCTGACACACTCATGGGAGCACTGCAGTGTCTCGTTATAAGCTGTAAATATGTCCAGGTTACTGGGCACACGAGCTGGGGTGAAGTCCGTCAGATTCTGGCAGCTCTCCTCCTGCTGATTGATTTTGCGCTGGTGGCTGTTTCTCCTGGGGTTACCACTTTGTGCACAACTGGGGTGTGGGTTAAAAAAAAAAACAAAGGAAAGAAAAATACAACTCCAAATATATCTGTGACACTTGAAGAAAGAATTACATGATCTGTTATTAATTATACATCATTCAATATTGGATTATAATTTGTGGGCAGTTTGGAAAGATCAGCCACAATCAAGCAATCACCCTTTATTTACTCTGTAATGATCAAATCTAAATGTTAAATGGAAGCCTTTATTATTAGAAGAATTACTGAGAAAAGCAGCATGCCCTTATTTTCAGAGTGTTAGAGCCTTCCTTCCACAGAGAGAATAAGCAAGTTAACTCCTTTTACTCTAGGGCTAGAAATAGATGTTGCTGAATGAAGCAGATCAGCTGTGCCATGATGTGGCACATGTAGTTGGATTTTCCCTGCTTACCCAGATCCACCCTCGGAGATTCCAGCTGGCCTGGGTAAGCAGGTCCCCGGCATGGAGACATGGGGCACTAGGGAGTCCCTGGGCCCTGGGTCCTGTGCCTCTAAACTGGGACCTGCAAGTTGTCCCCACTTAAGGAAATGTGTCCCTGGAGATCCCAAGGTGTGTCTCTGCAAGTGGGGAATCTCGATTTCCCCATTTATAAAGCAGCACCATGAGATTCCCCAAGGCGCCTCTGTAAGTCTCAAGCCCCCAGAGCACCTGCCCAAGTTGGCTGCAGAGTGCAGGCAGCTCAGGCTGCCTGGAATCTCTTGCCACAGAGCTAACAGATATTCTCCACAATAAAGAGACAGAATTTATCACTATTTTTTGTCATGCCACTGAATTTCCACTGATGTGGCATGACAAAGGGTAGGGAAGTCTATTTGGCTGCCACTCCATCACATTGCCTCCCTTGTAGCTATAACATACCTGAGGCCTCAATACACAACTTGATTAATACTAGAGCTAAGGAAATAGATTACAAGGACACAGGAATTTAGGCTTGCATACTAGAGCAGATTTCTAAGCAGAGTAAGGTTTCTTCCATTTATTTATCTTCAATTGTCCAATGTTCCCTTCCCCCAATTCCTTCTTTACATGCCATACTGATCATATGCTGAGTCTCTGATATTATTGAGCTGTGCGGATTAATTATGATTGGTCAGAAAAATCATGTATGGTTACATAAAATTTTTATGGTGGCACAAATGTGACCCCAAGCAACATCTGTTCCTACCCTCAGAAGCATCAAAGGGGTAAATTTACCGTGACAAATAACTTCCGGAAATGGCTTTTTTGTAATACTAGAGTTTCGGGACCTGTTGGAAGGGCACTCGGAGCCCAAAAGCTGGTCCAATAAAAGAAAGACCTCACTCAACAGAGAAACCCTCAGACTCCGAACGTGTGCAGAAATCATTCAGTCACTGATGTTTAATTCCCATGGAATAAGACCTGGAAGTTTCATTCTGGAATTTCAAGGGAAATGTAAGTACAAACTAGGGCAGTTGCTGCACATGCAGTACAGGCCAGTTACTACCCAGCCTGTTAGAGCTCCATAGTATGATACTGTTCCCTCCTGTGTACCCCCCAGACTCAACCCTGTGCTTGACTCCTAACGCCTAATGCAAAAAAATGGGTCCTCCTACTCCATGTGGCCAGCCTTCCCCACACATAGCCACATCTACCCTATCCTGGGGCAGATTAACTAGTATGGGGACTGGCTAACTAGCACTGTCACTCAGCAGTGCTAATTGGCCTACCTGCAATGCCCTGCAGAGGTGTCTACATTGCTTACAGTTCAGGAGGCAGTCAGTACAAAGGGTGCTGCTGCCATGGCACAGTATGTCAACCCTGAAAGACAGCTGTTAGTTTCCTAACTTTTAGCATTGAATTTAATGGCATGCAAGGTTGCAAGATGGCTTTGCCCAGCCACCCAATGAAATATCTAAATGTGGATTTATTTAAGAACATAATGTTCTTCATATAGGTTTGGTAATGCTGGCTCTAGGTTTTAAGTGGGACCTCAAAAGTACCTGAGGAAGTTGGGTGCCTAAGAACTAACTCAAGGATGAATGAGAGTTAATTACTTGACAGTTGTAAATGCTGTAGCACATCCCATCAAATTATTCTATTGCTGGACCCAATGCTGGCTTAAGCATCTAAGTGTGAATCAAGTTATAGCCTCGGGCAAATCCAAGGCTCCATCACTAATGCATGTGCTGGTGCACAAGATAACCTCTTCACAAATGGAAGGAACCATCTACCGAAACCAGTCAGTGCCCATAATAGGGAAATGGCACAATTCTTTATAAACTTTGCACAACAGAGAGTCATCACTCATCCCCTCTTTTTAAAGTGCTTTGCAAAGTGGATAGACTATTAACATAATCTTATAGCAGTGAAAACAGTGTGCCTGATGCTGCCAAAGACTGAGTGTCTTTGGTGTCCCTGCCTACAAGTCTCACTACTCCAACACATTGCCTCCTTTGTGGCTATAATATACCTGAGGACTCAAAATACAACTCGATTAATTTTAGAGCTAAGAAAATAGATCACAAAGACACAGGAATTTAGGCTCTTTTTGCATGCTGCAGCAGATTTCTATACTGAGTGCGATTTCTTCCATTTATTTATCTGCAGTTGTCCAATGTTCCCATCCCCCAATTTCTTCTTTACATGCTATAATGATCACATTCTGAGTCTTTGATATTATTGTGCTGTGCATATTAATTCTGATTAGTCAGATAAATTAGGTGGCATTGCACAGGTATTTAAAGAAAGTGATAGAAAAGGGGCATATGTGTGGCTAAAGCTTGCTCCCATACAAATATGAGCAAGTATTCGCCAAGGCTTTCTCAGTATTGGTACATCTCTAAGACATATCAATCACTTTTATTATATGAATTCTTTCTATGAGTGGACACTAGAAAAGGTCTGTAAAAAGTAAGCAGAGAATTTTGATTGACTTGCAGAAGCCATCCCACATTAGAGATGCCTAAATTATAGTAATTGGACATAAGCCTTCTGTTACCTTTAAGCACTATTACAAATCAGGAGAGAGATTTAAAACTGGGTTCAATTCACTCTTTGTAACACATGGTCAGAAGAAGCTAATACCCTCTAAAACAGTCAGTTCAGTGTGAGAGACAGTGAACAGGTCTGGATGAAAATGGACCCTTGAACTAAACCCCAATTAATTACAGGATTAGGGATTTTGCCCGAAGTTCACTGGCATCAAGGGTCTATTGACTTCAGTGGACTTTAGGTGAAGGTCTGGATGTGTCTGACCTAAAATGCCAAAAAAAATAGTCTGTCCTTGTGGTGCTGGCTTACTGGCCAAAAAGTAAGTTTCCCAAAACAGTCTATTCGAGATCGGTCCTCCACACCAGGAGGCTGGATAGCTTTTTGATTATTACTGACAAAGCCAAATCCATGAACCTTTTCCAGATCAAGCCACACCTATGCTCAAGTGTTCATATGGATTGTGGTTGCTTTTCCATTCATTTAATTTAAATAGGCAGTTAGTAAACTCTAACCCTGACCCATCCTTCTCTCGTCCTGCCTCTCTGCCTTTCCCATCAGGGTCTGGAAGCCCCACCCCTAGCTTGTGATGCCCTCCAAGATAGCAAAGCATTCAAACACATGGGTATCTCTGTGCATGACAGTAAGTCTCACTGATTTCTGTGGGATTCAATAGCGTGGTTTGCTATTATGTGTAGTATAATCCCAAAGTGGGATTATACTACACATTCAGCATGTACTGATTTTCAGGAGGGGCACTTGCTTGGTACTTTTAGGAAATCAGTCTTATTTGAGGGGTGTATTTTGTAAAACTGGGGCTTCCAAAATTATTACTGACTTGCAAAAGTCTTGGTTATGAGAAATATATTTCTGCACCACTGTCAGAAATGCTTCCTCTGAAAATATTGTACCTTTACCCATTTTCATTTTGGAAGAACTGTACAAACTTTACAAAGACTCAAAATCCAGCTGTAACATTTTGCTCAAAACCTTCCCCATGAAGAGAGCATATATTTATAATAGACAGACCTATGGAGGGGTTTTCTTCTTATGCCTCTTTGATAAGGGGATTCCTTACTCCCTAACTTTCTGATTTATTTCTAGATTCTATCCCTGATTTTATTCAATATCCTGAAGAAAGCATTGGGATCATATGGATAAATTACATGATGAGACAGCTAAGCTTTGAAGCTATTAGAGAACATACTTGCTGGAGGAGAAAACTACAGGTAGATGAGAGGACTAAGAATGGTATTGGAGACAAGCAGAGTTTGACTGCAGTTTTTCGGATTATCCCAGAGGTGTGGTAGTATTATTACACCCAGCAGCATTGACCTCAAAGTAGGCCAATTTCTCTGGGAAAACAGGTAAAGTCAGGAATGCCTGCAGCAAAGGACTAACCTATTTTACCATATGCATAGCTGATGCTAACGAATAAATGAGAGCAAATTAAGCTAGAACATGAGCCCATGAACACTCCAGGGGACGTGAAGCATGTAAAACTCGCTGCATTCAAGAGGCTCAGAAGGTGAGTTTCAATCCCTAGAGTTGTAAAAAAAAGGCCAGGAAACATCATTATTAAATGCTAAACCAAACTTTTGTTTGAAGGAATGGCTTAGACCCAGGCAGGAATTCAGAGCCCAAACAGCAAGCCAGAGAAAAAGTCAGGCAGCTCAAGACAGAGTGAATTATCCTGGTCTCCCGAGAAGAGGTTGCTATTAGAATACTCAAGACAACTAACCTAAGAGGGTGCAATATTATATCATGGCAGTGGGAAAGCCAAAGGGAGCTAGGAAGTTTAGCTGAAGTCTTCAATTCTGCCAATATGCAAAATCCCAAATGTGGAGGCTTTTTTGGCACTTTGTTTTAGGAATCATGAGAGTGTGTGCTATTTCAAAGCCTGTCTAATGTGTCTAACAGTGCAGATATTTGTTTGGAGGGTGATGACTTTTTTCAGTCTTGCAGATGTAGCTGCCTGTGATGGTGATGGGCATGATGCCAAACTCTAAATAAGAATTTAAATAAATAATAAGGCTTAGATATCAAAGTAGCCCAGGGGCGATAAACAAACACAGAATTTCAATGCAAGCATACGGCCCAAATTCCCTTGCCTTCTTTAAACAGTTCAACTTAAGCCATAATTTCTAGCCTGCTCTTGCACCTAATAGCTGAAACGTTGTTTTTTTAAATTCGCAATTGAAATCGTTAGCTCTGCCCCCGCTCCCAGTCTTGCCCCTTCCACACACTACAGCAGCACCCCCAACACTCAAGCCAAGCAGATGGACAACAGACCTTACCAATTTTTTAACACAAGAGTTGTTATCAGAGCAGCTATGACCATGATGAGAGACACTGTGATGGTGATAATCTGATGGACTGCCAGACCTGTGAAGAAAAACCAAAAGAGAGTAGCAATAGGAAGCAGAAGGGATCCAGGAGAACAATGAGCCAAAACCCCACCTGCAACCAAATTACTCAGTAGGCCCTTGGAGCTGAACCCATGTCACATCTTCTCCATCCCGTGAGGCAGAGCAAGCAACAGGCAGGGCTTTAATTCCACATTAGGACTGGCAGGATGACATCAGGATTCAAACACTGAGATGGTGGATATTGCTGCTGGCCCCTGAAATGGCTGTGTAACTCTGTACCTTGCAGGCTGCCCCAGTATACAGACATGAGCCTACCCCTGCCATGTTATCCCAGACATACCCAGAAGGCTCCCATTTCTGATTCAACCAAGCTTACTGCTTGGGAAAGTCCTTATACCCTCTAACCTTAGAGTCTGAAGGTTCCTACTGTTGCTTCTGCACTTTCCTGCCAACAAGCTCTCGGGGCTCTGCTTGTTGCTTCTTCATCACCCACTTCTTCTCCCCTTGCTCCTAGTAGCCAGCAAGTTTATGCTTCACTTTTCAGTCTCCTTTGATTTCTGGGCATCTCTGATCCACTCTTTGGGGTTGCCCTTGCCCTGCCAAAGTGATTGTGTCTGGTTGCTCCCTGTTACAGCACTGCAGACAGGCCTAGCCTTCTGGGCTAGGGACAGGCATTCAAAAAACCTAAGCCTGAATTGATTCATTCTTTGCAGGTTAGTCTAACCTGGCTAGGCTAAATCAGTTTTGTAACCAGACAGACATCCCAGACATGCAGGCACATACCTGCAGTGGCTCAGGCTAGAAGCTGGGGGGACTAGAGCAGCCTTCCCTTCCCTTGTACAGTGCTGAGCTGAGGGGGGCTTGGCCAGGGAGGGGTCCCCCTCTTTGATAACAGAACATTTATCAGCTCTGTTATCAGCATTGAACACCCCATCAGAAAACAAAGTCTTGCTCATTACAAGCTTTTCTTAAACAGCTTTTTTCCAAAGGAAGGAATGCAGGGACATTACCATATGAGCTGTTGATTACCTCCAAAAAGCCCTAAGCGGACACTGTCCTATCTGCTTTACACAGCATTAGCTAACATACCATATGCTGGCTACAGTCCGTGCTGTGGGAGAGAGGAGGAAGAGATCTCTGCTTAAGCAGTGAATGGTGAGAGAGGAAGAGGGGGGCACGGGGAAGCCAGCAGACCCTGCTGTGCAAGTGTCTACTGGAGCTCCAGCCAGGGAGCAGAGGGGAGGGGCCAGCTCTGCTGTGGAGCAGAGAGCCCCGTCCAGTCCAGAGAGCATGCTGCGATGCTGCGGGTGTCTGATTTAGCTTAAACCAGAAAAAGGTCTGGGACAGGCATTGCATAAACTGGTTTGAGCCAAATCAGTTAAGTTTGATACTACATTCAACCAGGTTTATCTCAAACTGGTTGCAGCCATTTTCAAACTGTTTTATGTGCACTGAGCATTTGTTCTGTTACAGGTTTAAACCAGTTTCTGATCACTAAAAATGGTTTATGTGTAATGTCTGTCCCTAAGGGCCCACACCATGTAGCACCCCATAGTCCTGCTTTGGTATGAACCCAGTCATAGGCCTCCATGGAGGTTCTCCAGCATGAAGAGGCTGTGCCAACATATCACCCTTTGTCACTGGGCATCCCCATGCAAGTCACACCAGCTAGACTGACAGACTGCCTTCCAGAGCAGGGAGGGAGCATGGGAAAATCACTTTATTCCTAGAAACTCCACTGCATCTCAGCATTTCTGGGCTTAGCCTGGGCTGAAAAGCATATGGCATCAGTCCTCTTCCAGCTCCCCCAAGGATAACCCAGGACATCAAAGGCCTTACAAAGAACAAGGCAATGCAAACTTCTTCCACCCTAGCCAAAAGCATGCAAGAATGCAGTGCACCTCATTTCTCTTCATCTCAGCCTCACAGAGAACACTGGCAGCAGGGCTGCCAGTAAGTGCCCACTGCCAGGGTGGGTTTGAGGACATGGTACCTTTCCAGTATAAAACAGACACACTCAGCCTCCCAAATCATTTCACTTGGGGTCCGTGAGGAGCCAGGAGACAGGAGAGACTTGGTTCTCCATCTTGCATTATAGAAAATAATCTTTAAACCAGGCTCTCATTCTCTATCCTCTCAACTCTGTTCCTTGTCAGTCTGAATTAGGCATGAAGGACTGAAGAAATGTAAAGACAGATATCTCTGGAGGGAAAAGGAAACTTCTGCACAATCTTGCGGTGGGAGCAGGATTAGCTATAGGTAATAATTACAGCACTAAGTGCTATCACTTAGAAGGTCGGACAGGCTCATTTTCTTTTAATTCACCTTTCACGGGCTATAATTTTGGCTTGTGCATCATTCCTAATGAATAGTTTGGAAACAAAAACATCTCCATGTACAGTATGTTTGTGGTTTTGAACTGCATTACAGTTGCAATTTTGTAATGAAATGATTTTGATGGCTGCAGCTCAAGGATGTGTTGGGTTGTTTTTTTTTTTACAAACAGATGTGAGAGCTCTAAGAGTATCACTCGGGTAAAAGATGTTTTTAATAAATAAATAAATGTTAGCATGACAGTGAAATGAGTGTGTGTGTGTATACATAGAGGTCATAGTTTCATAGTACTTAGGGGTCAGAAGGGACCTAAATAGATCATCTAATCTAACCCCCTGCCACTGGCTGGAGCACACGGTAGGATCACATGACCCCAGACAGGTGTTCATCCAACCTCTTTTTGAATTTACCCAAGGTAGGAGCGAGGACCACCTCCCTAGGAAGTTGGTTCTAGATCCTAGCTACCCTAACAGTGAAATAGTGCCTCCTAATCTCTAACCTGAACCTATTCTCCAGGGGTTTTTTGTCTTTTAAAGGGCCAGAGCTGGGGCAGGCAGGGCCGCCATGGGGGCACTGGGAGAGCAGGGGAGGGTCGGGGGGCTTGTGACAGAGCCTCATATGCAGCGTGGCTCTGTCACATATGCAGCAGGGCTCTGGGAAGCATCCAGTGAGTCAGGGCTTTTTTTTTCAAAGAGCCGGGAGCTGGGGCAGGTAGGGCAGCCATTGAGATCAAGCAGGGGATGGGACCTGTGTGATTCGGCTGGTTCGGCAGCAGGCGAATCTCCGAATCAGATTTGGCCAATTCGATTCAGGACAGTGTTTTGAATCACTGAATCGAATCAGCATCCCCTGAATCAGCCGAATCTGAATCCAAAGCTAATACTAGCCACTTTGCACAGGCCTACTCAGTACCACTAGTTCTCCCTTCCTCCCTCCCTCCTCAAAAACTTCTTGCTTTGGGATGTATCTTTTATATGGCAAACTATCTGAGGCAATGAGTAGCTGTCCCTCTGCACAGCACTGTCAACCTGAAGTTCCCCTCTAGTTGAGACTCTTTGGTGCTACTCTTATAAAAATAATAGTGAACAACTATAATAGCACCCTGAAATGGATTTTATCTTTCCCCCTAGCTCTAACATGACATCATCAAAAGCACCTTTTAAACTTTTATGTGGCATCCAATCTAGGCTTTGCAGATGAACTGCTCTTGAAGAACACTGCATTACTGAATCAATAGCTGCCTTAGGTACAGCTGCTGTTCCCTTTTTCCAAAGTATAACAGCCTTGTAAAATATTCCACCATCATTATAATCCTGTTGCTTGTATGATGCTGGATGTAAAGGCACCAACATCCTGACTTGCATGTTTAACGAGTTGCGTTGGTGGTGTTGCAAACTGCCTCCATTTTTCATTTTTAAGCCTGTGCATATATTTTGTTACTTGCCTGGCTTGCTTTTAACAGCGTGGGCTGCAATATTCAACAGAGTCAGGAGCACCCCAGGGAAAGACCACGGCTCAGAATACCCCCCTTTTCCTCTCAGGGCCAGTCATTGGCATACACTTTCCCCAGACCCATAATGACAATGCGTCTGCCCGTGTCTTGCTTAACTCAGTTTCCACATCATTAGAGCATGAAGCTTTTCAGGCCCTCCTGATCCCCCAACATGCTCAAAGTGCTACTAATTTTCTGAAAGCCTCATTGAAAGCTGTTTCCAACCTGAAGAAGAGTGGGAGACAGAAACTCAGCACGACTGCAGAGATGTAACAATACCTGACAGCTGATCTCTGTTGTGACATTTCTTAACTTCCGAGGAGAGATGGAAAACGCCCTTCTCACTTCACTCAACATGAGAGGTGTCATAACAGAGAGCAGTCGCTATGCAGCTTGCTTGCTTCCTTTATGTCTTTCTGATTCTGCAGCCCTTATTCATGTTAATCAACTATTTTCTATGAGGTCAATGGCATTTACTCAAAGTGGTATAACGCCAACTTTTCAAAGGCCCCTCTGGTAGGGCATTCATTCTTTCACTGAATTGCACCAAAGCCTTAGACATGTATCTTCAGCTGGTGTCAATAGGCAAAGCCACTCTATTAACAGAACAGTCCTGATTATATATCAACTGAGAATCTGGCCGTCTGTGTTCCAGCTATTCAGGTATACGTATGGCTCAGCATTTATACTTTGCTCATCTAAGCAACTATGCTCCATGCATGCTATTTGTTATTACTTATCTTGTTTTTTTTACTTAGCCCTCTACTGCAGCACCATACTTTTGCATCTAGCAGTCTAATGGGGGAGGGGAACCTTTACTTAACATTGCATTGCAAGGATAAAACATTGAATCTGGCCCTAGCACATACAAAGTGTCAGTGAGAAGTGATATCTTTTTAGGAAATGGAGCAGGTTCCTCTGCCAAGATGTATTCAAAGTATAAATCAAACACTCAGAAATGTGAACCTTGATGGTTTAATATAATAAAACCAAGGTCACCTTTGCTAGCCTGATTCACCAACACATTCACTGCTCAGATAATGATAGCTTACAATGGGATCATTATTCCCCCTTGCCCACCCTCCCTCCAACACACACACACTCTGAAGTTGGTTTGTTAGATATGCCAGAGAAAAGTGCAGAATAGGGGTGCAGGCAGATACAGGATGCCCTGTCATGAGCAGACACTA